CGACCGTAGTGTCAAGAGTTTTAATAGCAATTAGTGATTTATAATCTAAAAATCCTACTTTATAAATGTCTCTATTAGGGACATCTAGGATAGTCCATTTATTTAGACTTTTAATTTCTGAATTATATTCACTTAATTTTGCATTTTTACCTTTTTACCCGTATAACGGGCTGTTTTGGAGGAGCTTGCTATGATGTCTGACATAAACATTCTTATTGGTTTATCTAGTAAATATTACTCAATAAGGATATAGATTTAAAATTTTTCTTTCTTTTCCGTAAAAAACAACCTAGCTGTTAATATTGCACGTCTGTTAACGTCTTACACTACCCTAACCTGCCATCTTGACTACAACAGGGCTTTACACAGCGCGATTTGGGTGACGTCCTACAAAATTACCAACTAAGATCTTAATCATAGAAAAAAAGAACATATATTAAATCTACATTCTTATTAACTAACATTTACAAAGATAAACCATAAGAAAGTAAATCAACCAGACACAACTGAGCCTAACAGGCTCTGACACCAATTTTGAACAGGAATCAAAACAGAATAAAAAAAGTTGCAATTTTAGACGGCCGATTTCTAAGATAACTTCCTCTTTATTATGCTCCACTATATATTACAAAGTACTCACTAATTTTACACACTCTTAACTCACACCTCTAATTTTTTCTTCAAACTCTTAAAGATTTTTACAACTCTCTTTCGAACTCTGCCCTCTGCCTTCTGCCATCTTCTTTATTTATAAGCTTCAGAAACGTCTTCAGAATTCTCGAGAATATCTTAACGTGACATCGGCTTTGTATAAAGTGACTTTTGAAAAAACTGATTTTAAAAAAGTAAGAAATATCATTTGAAAAGCTGCTTTTAAACAATAAAGAATATCTTTTTTAAAAAGCTTCTTTTTAAAAGTGACTTTATTAAAGTCTGATAGTGATACTTGAGCGGCTCCCCGAGGCTCTAACTCAATAGGAATTTTAAACAATACATTTTCCTTTAATATCTGGTGTTTTGATATTATCTAGCACACTCATTGCTTCATTCCACAGATTATCAACATCCTCATCCGGATCTTGGGCATCTTGAATATCAATATCTTCTCCAGTAGAACTATTGCCTTTTATTATCACTTGTTTCAAATGCTTCAAGAAATTGCTTTTTTAAATGTGCTAAACATTTCTGTTGAATTTCAGCTACTGAAGCTTGAGGATATTTCCTTCGGATCATCTTTGCTATTTTAAGCATTGGATTTTCTTTTTGAATTTCACGAGTCATATTATTTTCAAGAATATTATTATTCTTCTGGATAATTTCTTCAATCTGTTTGATTTTTTCTTCAATCACCATTTCAGACCACCATCTGCAATAGAATTTTCTTTTCAAGATTGGCATATGAGACATTGTCCAGTCTGTTTCTACTGACCATGTCCATATCTATGGTATCTCGGATTCTGCAAAGAAATATATGGCACATAAACCATCCACAATTTGGATCTCATTCATCTTAAGATATTAGAGGATGTGATTCTATCCATGAAGAGTATAACTTCATTATAGGTTCTGGTAAGATAGTCATTTTAGCACCATAAGATTCCCACCAATGGAAGAACCAAGAAGGAAGCCCTTTATAAAGTGTTTCAGGACATAGTTTTATTAACCATGTGTGTTTATTTTTAGGATTCTAATATAGAAATATATTGTAAAATGCCTGCTTATAATCCCAATAGTTGAAATAGTATAACTCTTTCGTATTCTGGAATTTTACTAAGGGTAATTCCTGATTAGGATTTATGGCCCAATTTCTTGGTTGTATGACTTTTTAAATGATACATTTACTGAAGCTTGATGAAACATTGTGATTTTCACTGTTCCAGAAGTGGGTTATTTCCATTTCCTTTTGTATTATTAATGTTTTCATCCAAGCCCTAGATTTTAGGGTTGGGTAATAAGTTTATTCAAATATTTTTGTCTAATCTTATCAGGATCACTCATAAGAGGAATATCCTCTTGTTCTAAGTATAAAACTATCGAGTCATCATTCCTTTTTCAGTCATCTTACTTTTTCATACTATAGAAGTAAACAGTTCAGGATTAATCTGCCATTGTTAATGATATTATTAATGTCTTTATAAAAGACTTATGATGGACTACTAGAATGTTCTTTGTTAAGCAATTGTTCGTCATGAAGAGTTGGAGTATATGACTCCTTTCTGAGATGATTGAACTGCTGCCATATAGTATACTTATATACTATAGCCTCAATATTTACTTATTATATATATATATATATATATATATATATATATATATATAATATTCTTTTTGATGGCTTATCGTAGAATATAAAGTCAAATAAGTTTTCAAATTATATTAACTTATGGCAATGTTTACTATGTTTAATCCAATTCTCAATAAAGTAAGATCATTCGCTTAAAGATTTATAAAAGTACAACTCATGTTGAAAACCTTTAACATTTACATTCCACATAAGCAGTCAAAAATGATGGAACATATAAAAATATTTAATATTATCCTAATATTCTATATATAATATATATATATATATATATAGATATATAAATATAAGGTAAATATGTATATATTAATTATGAGTTAGTATAATATATACAGAATCACACACACACACACATACCTATTTAAATATGAGAACACATCTCTCATTCTTAGCATTGCCATTAATTTTAAAGAAAAGACAAGCAATTAGTCAAGCACCCATGTGTATGGTGATGTCATGTTCCACTAACAAATTTAAAACTACGAAAATAAGAGAGAGTGTGTGTCGTCTTCTTCCTTGCATATCTCAGCTAAACTCATTTTCCTTAAACGTAACTGCTCCAAAAGTTCTCTCACACGTGGGAAATGAGTTTCTCCCATGTCCCCACGATTTGGGTGTGGAAACATATACAAACCGTACCCGACACGGGTATGGCGCCAAAATTGCCGTGTCGGGGTATCATAGGCTGACACTTAACCCTTTTGGCCTCACACCGAGAAACAGGGGCTTCCACCATAGAAAAATCACACAAAATTTTCTTCAACTCAACTTTCATAAATTCTTCATAAGCTCTCCACTACATTAAAGAAATCTCCTCCCTCTTTTATAGAGTTTGGAATTCTTATCGAAAACAAATTCAAAAACTTATACTATCTCTAAAACCAATTCAATCTTAAATCCAACAAACTCAATTCTAACACAATTCAAATCAAAACAACCAAACAAAATAACTAATTCTCACCTATCTAAAACCAAAACCAAATCTAAAATCATAACAAATTTATCTTTAATCCAGATCAAATCTGAATAGTGATTGTGTCCTACTTCAGTTCTCCCCTTGTTGGAGAAAACTCAACCTCGAGTTTTAAATAAGGATAATATGATAAACTCTATAGCTTTTATGTAATTTGATTCAATAGTCTCCCAAGTCTTCAGTAATATTTGTAGAACCCGATAACAGGTCGGTGGAGGAGTATCTGGTATATCAAAGTCCATTATCGAAGGCTTAACTTCAAGCTCTAAATCTATCTTTGGATTTTTCTCTTCTTGTTCTAATTCAGGGTTAGATTCTAGATTAATCTTTTGATATGCATATTTTTCTAGCTCATGTTCAGATGCAGGTTCAGGCTTTGATTGTGGCTCCATCTCCAATTTTGCTTCTATTTTTATTTCTAACTTAGTAGTGAACTCAGACTTTGACCGTGCGGCCAAATCTAATTGGGGTAGAGGAGAGAACAAAAATATCTTCTAGTTGGTTGAGAAGAATGTCACCTTTCTAGAAGAAATTTCATAGGCTCCTATGAATAGATAGTTGAACGATAACCTAAATAATTTCTAGACCACCATTCATGAGCTTTTTTCTTGAGACTACACTTTGCATATAAATACTTTTGTATTTCAAACATTTCATAAATAAGAAATATATCCTCCATATCTTGAATCCAAATTTCAAAATCATATGGCTCCTCATATCCATCAAAACAACAAAAATAAGATAAAGAACCAAACTTTAATGGATTGAAATCATATTGGTGTGAAGGAGGAAGTGACTATTTACCCATAATAACTGTGGATCACAAGAACTTACTCTGATACCACATGATGCGGAACAGAAGTAATGATAAATAGTGCTCGGGTGAACAGTACCCGTGAACAATATTTTCTCGCTTTTTTATTTTTTGTGAATAAAAGGCCAAATAAAGAAAGATAAAAGAAAAATAGACTAAACCGGATTCACTCGCAGCATCTAATCTCTAAAAACAATTGAAGAGGCCATTTTTATACACGAACGCCTAATCAAAAAAATATGGTTTCACGCCTATGGAATCACTCCAAAACATCTCTCAGAACTCGTATTTTATTCATCAATTTTTCTTTTCCAAAATAAAACATTACAATCCTTTTTATAGCCATAAAATAAAATCATAATCCTAAATAATTGATAACATCAAATCTAACAAAATAACAAAATCAACAAGATAACAAATCTACTAAATAATAGATCCAATCCTAAACAAATATCTCAAATCATATTCTTAAAAAATCCTAACTAATACGATCTTCTAGATGTCCTACATCACATTGTCCATCTGCAAGATATACATAATTGTGTGCATTATATGAAGTAGATAAAATGGACAGCCAATAAAGAAAAGAACTTAAAACTAAAAAAAGTACACAAAAAGGCCACAATAGTGATATTAATGAACTTTTCACTCGGAAGTTAACCAGGATACCTGAGTTACTTCTGAGATACACCATTAGGAGATTAGATGTTTCCCAAACACCATAATTCCACACATGTATGGTGCTCATGTGTAGGAGCTTTTTAATAATGGTCATCATATTAGGAGACAACACTACCCGGTAACAACAAAAGTAAAGCTAAAGTTCACCATTCACCGATGTTACTGAAAAATCTTTTTAATTAAATAGAGGATATCAGAAGTAGAGCTAATAATATCCATGAAGCTGATACCTTTCTTTTGTTTGAATGTTGTTTAAGCAAGCATGGTGCCCTTTTGCCAACAACTTCAATGCAATCCATAGAGAATCCATTAGCATTAGCAACAGCTTGCAGATATTTGGTACCTTGCTCTTGCAGTCCTGGGAATATCGAAATAACAGTACAATCTTTCGAAAATGATGCAGCAAGAACTGTTAAGAATACACTATCATCAGCAACAACACAAAATGGACAAGATCTTGCACGCTGCAACTGCACAAGATGAAAAGAAAGCTTTACTAGAAAGGAAATGAGGACAATCAAAAAGGAAAGGCATAAGGCTTTTGTATATTACTACCAAACAGACACTAGAACTTTTGCACAGATACAAAATTAGCAGATCTTATAATTTACAAAATTAAGAGGAAGAAAAAGAAACAAGTATTGATTACTCCTACATCAGGCTTTTTGCAAGGTTCTGGTAGGAAAGAGGAAAGCTCTAGGGTGTATGAACGAAGCAGTCAATTCACAAAAAAAAAAAGGAAAACCTTAGTATTCACTCATCTCTTTCTTTGATTTTGAAATAACCCTCACTCCAACTTTTCCGCAGGAAGTTCATAAAATCAGGAAAATTTTGTTTTGATTGCCTGATACATAGTGTCTGATCAAAGCTTGGCCTTTTACAGTAAAACGATCTATTAATTTATCAAACATCTCATCTAAGTGTACTGATTTAAGTCTATTAAAACAAGTTGAAGACACTTCAAGATTGCTTCTTGAACATTCTTTGCCATGAACCATCAACTTTTTTAGATTATGGGTAAAGTAATCAACTAAACAAGCATCAAAGGGCACATTTCCAAGAGGTCTTTAAGTTCAGATCTACGGAATGACATTTAAGTTTGCCTGCATGTACCCTATTTAATTTGTCTCTTCACAAGTATCATCTTTTTTAGGAAGGCCTTCATGTGATTCATAATGAGAGGGTTACTACTGCTCAAGGTACCTTTCGAGCTCCCAACTTGTAGAATAATTGGTACCAAGTATATAAAAGAAAATTATCCCACAAGTGCTGACACAAGTGCCATAAATAAGCTTCATAAATCATTTAGGAGAAGTCTACATCTATACAATTTAACTCAAGAGAGTAAAATAGATTCTCACAGCAGTTTCTGCAGACTTTGACATTGCAGATCTAAAAGCTTTGTCCCCATATACCGCAACTTTTTCTGGTGTTAGTATCAGATGACAGTCCTCAGGCTTCAAGCCACCAGTGTCTGTTGAGCTATTATCTGGGAGAGAATAAGAGATGCTAATATCATCATGAAAAGCTTTTACAGGAACATATTTATCCTTGTATACAGGTATTCCTGGCCCTGGAATGAACCAAACACATTCTTTCCAATGATCGCACCACTCCCTGCCACCTAGTAAAGAAACAATTATGACAACATGCAATGGTAAAATTACATCACAAAACTTGTAAGCATTTGTTTCCTAGCAAGGGGGAAATGGCAGTTAACTTCAACACTCAGAAGCAGAAAATTAGAGAGATACATGGATACTGACACAAAAAGCTTTTAAGTTATGGGCAACTGCTTGACACAAGAAGTTGTGACAAAATTGTCTATATAAGAGCCAATACTTGCCTAAGAAAAAATTAACAGACTAATAGGTTTCACTATCATGGCGTGAAGCAATACAAAATACCGATACTCGATTGAAAACCAATTGATATATAAAAAGTACACTAATTGATCAATGAATTGGAGAAAGCTGCAGATATTCGAACTTCCATAGACCTCACTAGGGGGGTTACACATTGGGACATTTGGTGGGATAATGGGATAATTTTGGGATTCTATTCCATAGTGTTATTCATTGGGACAATGGAACAAGGATAATACATTTCTGTGTTATTGGTTTTTTGGAACACTAGTGAGACAATTTCACCACTTGGGATAAAATTACCCCACTCATATACAAAAATGTTGTCCCAATAGTAAAAATTTACCCCATCCTCCATATTGGAACAATTTTGTTCCACTTTGAACGCAATTGGGATAATTTTCAAACCTTTTTGCTATACTTAACTAATACATGCTAATATATTATAAAATATTATGACATTGATATATAACGTATCAAAGTAATAATATCTTCAATTATTATATAAATAATTTATTATAGTTATTTATATATAAGTAAAATATGTATATATTTTATACATATACAATTATTCCTATGATACTGATGTGTATAATGTATTAAATTAAATAATATCATTAATTAAAGTATTACAGTAAATATATTGTCATATATTATCTCAATTATTATATACTAATCCGTAGGAATACTTAACAAATCAATTTAATATATAATATACCAATTAATAATATCTAATTTGTAGTGATTATATATAACATATTACTAATTTTGATATAAATAAAATAATTATAATATTAAATATTATAGTATTAAAATATATTAACATATATTGATCTATATATTATATTAATTATTATATAGTATAGCATGCTAATATAATATAATGTAATGTAATATAATAATAATAAATATTAATTAGTAATTATAGTACAACATATTATATTTTAATATAAAGTAAAATAATGTTTATATTTATATATATACTAAACCAATTGGATAAGATTAATTTAGAAGTAATTAATAGATAAAATTATATTTTAATAAGGTGTCACATCATAATTTATCCCACATGAATTGTCAAATCAAATGCTCATATTATGTCATTATCCCACATTCTCCCACTTGCTCCACTCAAAATATCCCAAATGGATAAAATTGTTCCATTGGAACAGTTTTCCCACTTGGCCGCCAATTTGTCCCAACCAATAACCAATGATCAATATACTCAAAAGTTACCATTGAACACTATCCAGTACATATTGAAATTGTTTATCAGATTAAGATATAAATCTTTGAACTCACAATATAAGTGTGGTGCTCCACTTTGCACATCGCAAGAGTTTATCCATCTAGGAGCTGTAGAGTAGAATACTGACCCTTCACAGTCAAGTTGAAGCACCCACCTGCAGAAAGGTCTAATAATGTACAGTTTCTGAAATAATCTACCAAATACTTTCTTAGATTTGAATTTATGTACCATGATATTAAAGCATGGATCCTTCCATCACCAGTTGTTTTTATAAGCATTTCCACCTCTCTATAACTGTCTGGTCGTTTCCAAAGGTCAAAGTCAAAAATTTTGAATGGTTCTGATAACTGGATTAATAATACATCAGGAGTAAATTCCAGTTAGTTTCCTACAGAACTAATCAACTTTGAAAATATTCATGCTCATACCAATTTAATCTCTTGGGATATCGCGTCGCAATGCATAGCATATTGCCTAGGTTTTACATCTATAATCCTCTCTAAACCAGCCGGTACAAGATGAATCCCATCAGGTATGTCAGCTTCTTGATTAAATAAATCATGCAACTTCCACAGAAATGTGCTTTCGACAAACTGGAGCATCAGAAAGAGAAAATCTATGTGAGCATAAGTTCTTCCAATACCCTAAAAGTAAAAGCTAATGTCTCCAGGTTGGTGGTCTTCAACTCTTTCAAAACAATTAATTAAAATGCAAAAGAGAGCTTTACTTTAATATAACAACGGAGTGCTAGATAATTAAACATAGTCCAAAGAACATTATCATTGTTATATTCCAATATTGGAAAAAAAAAAGCAAAGAAGTGGAATATGAGTATTGATTGTAATAGCTATTCCTCCAGAATTATGTATTTCCTGCTGGTGGTATGTGAGGATAAAACCACGGGATTGGGATTACACATGCTGTATATACATTAGTGAATTGTTAACCGGTAACATTAACAGCATAGGAAATGCGTTCCAATTTCTTCACTTAGCATATACATACCATAAAGATAAATGCTTATTCTACAGAATGTATGATCATAATAGCCTACTTCTACTTTGTTTTTAAACGTAAGAAAATGCTCCCTAGTTGCATAAGCTTAAATTACTTTGCAAACAGGGAAAATATTTCCACCCACCTTGTGACCTCTATATAAAGGCAAAGTTGCTTCGCACCTGCTTTTCTTTCCAGGAATTAAGAACAGGCTCACTTGAAGTTAGCAAGCATAACTCAACGAATATGAACACAGCTTAACCATAGTCAACATCATAATGAGGCGATTTAGGCTCCATGACCTCTTCACAACATCACTTGAGCAAGCCTCGTCTCTTTTATCAATAACTCCTTTCAAATTAAGTTTTCACCTTTTACAGTAGGGCAGCGGATTCTATCTTGGGTGTCTATACTGTGGAGAAGAGCATCATTTATTTCACCTATAAAACCGCCAGGCTGTTCACCTTCCTAAATAAACTATACTCAACCACAAGAAGAAAATCCAAAGGAAAAAGACTTAGGCATACCATGTAGAAGTGAGTTGTCTTATTGTAACAGTGCCCTATTTCTAACTAACATTGGCAATCAACATTACACTAAATGAAGAGCCAGATTTCAAACTAACATTGGCAATCAACATACGCTAACTGAAGATCCTCTCTTGTATACGCTAACTGAAGAGCCAGATTTCAAATTAAGTTTTCACCTTTTACAGTAGGGCAGCGGATTCTATCTTGAGTGTCTATACTGTGGAGAAGAGCATCATTTATTTCACCTATAAAACCACCAGGCTGTTCACCTTCCTAAATAAACTATACTCAACCACAAGAAGAAAATCTAAAGGAAACTCATAAATCTAAAGACTTAGGCATACCATGTAGAAGTGAATTGTCTTATTGTAACAGTGCCCTATTTCTAACTAACATTGGCAATCAACATACGCTAACTGAAGAGCCAGATTTCAAACTAACATTGGCAATCAACATACGCTAACTGAAGATCCTCTCTTGTATATGAACCATAATTATCCATCCATGATAACAATTATCTAAAATAATTAGCCATGTGGATTGATCTTTGCCAAGTTCTACCCAAGTTGTGATAAAGTATAATACATATAAGAGTATTTGCATTTATACCCTCTGAAAGTTAGTGTTTTTCTTATTTACTTTTCAAAAGGTACCGAATATAAGATGTGTATCCAAAATCCTATTGTGAACAAATTTACTATTTCGTTAGCTAAATCCAACTAACTCTAGTTTATTGTCAATAAACTGTGTCAAATTGTTACTGAATCTTTTAAGAACTTAGTTACAATCATGGATGTGCAAATCACAGTACTCTCTATGATTCTTTCAGGCTCACCCTTATTATATCTAGAAAATCTGCTTTAATATTAAGCACCCATATTTAACCTATACATATCAGGCTTTTGTTATTGACAATAAAGTTTTTCCCCATAAAAGTTCATGACTTAATTTTCACTATCTACAATACAAGCTCTATTGCTTCACATAAGTAAATGATATCTAGCATATTTAGCTCCTAGTAAAATAGTCTTTACCTAGAGTTAACTAACGTATTTATGGATACTAATATCATGGGCATACATAGAATTTTAAATACTTCTTGAAGAGGTTACGAGCAATTTTAATATGCGTATAGGGTACGCGTGCAATTTGAACTTCTAAGGGGTTAAAAGAGCAAAAGAATAATTTATCAAATAGCATATATGCATAAAAAACCCATACAAAAGAATAATTCATCAAATGATTATACGTAAAAAAATCATACGTATAGTCAGAGCAAGTGACATTTACAAAAAAATATACATAACTAATTCAGTGGCATTAATTAAGCGATAATCCAGTGCTCCATCATTGTATATAAAGATCTTGAGCATCACATATCGAATTAACTACTTAACATTTTATTTATAATGATTAATGAATATGTAACTATACCCTATTTAATTTCCCACTACATCAAAAATGCACCAAAGATAAACCCTTTGTTAAGTAACAACCATGTAAGATCTGTCTTACACAATCTTGCAATGTATAAATTGAACAAATAGTAATAAGTAGTTGATGTTTGCACATTTCCTTTCAGGCGACAATCCCACAAGTCAGGATATCCACAAAGTTTTTGAACTGTAAGCATCGGAATAGTGCTAAATCTCTAAAAAAAGCAGATGTGAAAAATTATTAATATATGTTAGTAGCTTGTGCAACTAACGTGAAATTTCTTAGTTGCAAACAGAAGTGCGTGGAAATTCATTAGTAAACATCCAATCAAAACATTGGCAATTCCTACTTACTACCCTACGAAAAAATAAACAGATACCTGACCATAAGTTATGGCTCTGTATGGAACCATTTTCGGATTTTCAACCAGCAGCATGTCATGTGCTTGTTGCAGAGTTGGTATCAATCCTTCACCCAACAACTCTGAATCGAGAATCTCACTAACCTGCACAAATATAAGACAATTTTTGGCAGCAGAAAGATGGTAGACTATTAAGAACATGTATTTATATACACAAAAGAAAAGATTGCATTGTCTATTACAGTGGAACTATGTATTGTCCAAGGTATGATTTTGATTTTTATAGAATGAGGAAGAACCATCTGCAATAAGCAAATATTTCCATGTACCAATACTAGACAGTTCATGGCGAAAAAAGATTCCACAATTGGATTACAGCATATTAGAATATTACACAATGGCAATTTTCTTCAATGGAACACGATAAAAAATGTTAAACATTATACTTACATATAAGAAAGAGGTCATTATACAGTTCATTTATGTAGAACAATGTTTTCATTCAGTACCTAGGGATATTATACGTTGGACTTCAGAAAAGAAACAAGCAGTACAATGATGGAATCAGGAAAATATGTGATAGGACAGTATCTAGTGGAAAACAGCTTGTAGAAGGCCAATCTATTCCCTGCTTCCTTGGTGTACTAGAACGCCTTCACAGATTGACCTTAAGTTTCTCCTTGTTATAGTTATTGATAAGCTTAATTGGCATATGTTATCAACCTTGAATACTTACAACAAAGGCCTTGTTTGTTGTGAATCAAATAAAGACTTGCAAAGAATTTAAAGAGTACCTACCAGCACATCTGCACGTGAGTCTAGATCCTTCCCCACATGGAGCTCATCAGACCGCTTATGAAAGAGCTTTACCATCCTCTCCATGCCATTCGCTCGTAGAACCCTCCGTGTTAACTTTCCCATAGGAAGATATGACTCGCATGCCGACACCTTTCCCTCATTTTCCCTTCCATGTCCCATCATTGCCCGTGCTGCCATCATTGAGAGCAGTCCAGTCCCTGCCCTAAAAAGACAATTCATAACTAATAACGAAAACTACAATCCTAGTTGTATGCAAAGTCAACACCTTTACAATACATATGACACAGAGTTGTTTACAAATGGAACCATAAAGAATTTACACATAGAAACCTTAACTTTCAATTTCTATAAAAGAAATCATTTTACATCAAACACTCGAGAGTAATATATCGACATGTTATTCTATTTTTTTCATTTTAAGCCCATAAATTTTAAAAATCAACTCTAGTTGAGTTTCTAAGTACTATGTAACTAATTGATTATTTTTCCTCCATTCAGTAAAAAGTAAAAACCCATTACCTTCACTAAAATTATTATTGGAAACCACAATTATCTGCTTCAACTTAATCCATCAATTACATTCAACATGTTTCCGATTTACTTTACTCATCCAATCCGTATTTGAGTCAACTTTGGCAGATGATATAGGTTTTTATTACTGAACTTCATCCATATTCGTATCTGGCTCCATTATTAGTAAAAGGATAAGGATATAGTAAATGCATAACTGATCCACATCAAATTCGTTTCACCCGTAGTAGCATCGGCATGAACCACTAGATACTTTCTGCGTAACACAATGTTTGAATAAGGGAAGGGAGATGAAGGAGTTCATTTTAGAGGGAACGGCAGGGGAGGGAGATGGATGTGATTAAGATATCCCCCCCCCCCCCCCCCCCCCCCCAAAAAAAAAAAAAAAAAAAAAAAACAATGTAATTTGTGACAAGGACAGTTTTGCCCTCCATAAAAGAATCTTACGCCCTTATAATAACATGTAAGGTATATATTTAAATTGATATAAATTCCCTTCCCTTCCCTTTCCTAAATTCCCCTCCATTCTCCTTACTGAACTCCCAAACGAGAAGAAATATTTTCCCTCCGTCCGCTCAGTTTCTTTCCCCTATTTTTGCTGCCCTTCCCTTCCCCTCCCCTCCTCTCAATTAGTGAACTCCCTAACATAGTGCAAGGACTGACATGCAAATTGTAATAATGAATAGGGTTATTTTCACTTTGGTACACCAAAGTTTACCCCATTTTTAACTCCCGACAGTTTGATGCCCCAAAATTTACACCGTTTTCTGGACTTCGATACCCTAAAGTTTCTTTCCCACCTTTTGACACCCCTACGTTTACACCTTTTTGAACTTCGATACTTCAAAGTTATGTTCTTGATACTTTGATACCAATATGCAAACTGAAATTTTAAGTTTTGACACTTTCAATGTTAACTTTGCGAGGGGTATCAAAGTTTTTTAAAAAATGTAACTTATAGGGTAACAAAGTGCGAATACCCAAATAGGAATTAGGAAACCCACCATAAGTATCAAAGAGAAAGAAAGGCAAATATGAAAATTGAAAGAAATTAAAGGACGAAAATGCCAATTCCTCAAACAAACTAACAAACCCAATATCTAAAACATGGCAAGGCTGAGAAATAGTCTTCTCGATGGCAGCTCGATAAGCTCGGTTCCTGCAAGAATCGTTCAGCATATCGAGGTACGAGGTGTTCGCCAGAAGAGGTCTAGAACCTTCTAGAAGCCCCTTCGGATCGTCGTCTCCCTCCTCTTCGACGACGATCCACTCCGAGTCGCCGGTCAGCGGGTCCACCCGCAGCTGGAACGCCCGGTTCATGGTTCCGAAGGAAATGGCGGGATCGCCCTCGGACTTAGGGAAGGAGGGCAGAATTGGAAATCGAGGGTTTTAGGCCGAGGAGGGACGTCGACATCGAAGAGGGGGGAGAGGGCTTTGGTATTTAGGGGACTGTTTGGATGGCTTTATAAAACTAGAGTATTTATGACATAAAATAAAAAGTGGTTATCCACCTCATCAGTTTTTATTCGAGTGTTTATATTGTTTGGTTAGGAATCTTTGTGAATCCTAAAATAATAGTATTACATTGTTTGGATAGTATAATATAAACTAGAGTATTTATGACACAAAATAGAAATTGGTTATCCACCTCACCACTTTCTACAAGTTTTGACTTTTTAATTATTTTTTTGGACACATTTATGACATAGTGTAAGCTTTCCAACAAAATCACTCCTAAGGGCCCGTTTGGTTTAAGTTTTTTCTCTTGGGTCTTGGGCAGAAAGTATGCCAAAAGGACACTTTTGGCAGGCTTTCTGCCCAAGATCCAAGTTAAAAAACTTGAACCAAACAGTCCTTAATTTTGGTGATTTTGCTTTCGGTGACACCTCATCAAAAGGTATAAGCTTTTCATGTAAAAAAAAATTAAACAAACAATGTAAAGTGATGAAAGCTGACATTAGGACCCACTTTTTTACATTTTCCATCATTTTACATGGTAAAAACATACAACCAAACAGCCCCTAGGTCTGGGGTTTACTCGTGAGTCATGAGGGATGCTGCGATGTGCTGCGGTGGTGGGCTAAGATAACTAACGTGTCCCGAGGACGTACTGGCGTGTGCTGTGGTGGTGGGCTAAGATAACTAACGTGTACCGAGGACATACCGGTCGGATTCCAAATCGGGTCGGTGCTCTGGAACTCGAAGCACGGAAGAAAACCGCATGTTTGCTATATCCACTCCCAAACAGTAACTTTTGGAGTTGGATTGCCGAAAATGCCCTTTTGGACTTGGTCTGGTTTGGTTTGGGAGAAGGGCAATTTAGTCCTCACACACCCCCAAAGTTACTGTTTGGGAGTGTGAATAGTTGGACCCAGAAAACCGACATGGATGTACGAGGATTTATTCGTACTCACCGTTATGTTGCGTGAAAAAGTGTTCTAGTTGAATCATCAAGGAAAATGTGAAAGAGTACGTAGTAGTGGAATTGTCAAAATAATGAATTATATGTTAGATTTTTTGAATATTTTTTGAAGTGTGAGGATTTTTCTTTAGTTTGTTGTAAGAGCAAGTTTGGTTATTTTTTATGACATTCTAAATCCGTGGCTCACACAAATCAAAACGAAGGGTTCTTTTAATATATAGTAAAAGCTGCAAGGATGAGCAAATACTCGGTTGAGACAAATTTTACTTAAACCGAATAGGACCATCCTTGTTGTGGTACTAAACTGAATTGAGAAAACATAAATTTAGTTTGGTTTTGTCTATTCAGCTTTAGCTTGGACCGATTTACTTAAGAAAGATGGTTGGATCGACCCAAAAAATGATGTTTAGCAGCAAGTCGGGGAAACAAATATGTGAATTTAGGGGCGGATGTACTTGTGAACTTGGGAGTGCTATTACACCCCTGATTACATAAGACTTTGTTTTTAATACCTTAAGAAATTACAGTTTGCCTCCTTACTTTTAAATTATTTACACCCCAACGCCCCGCCCCGCCCCACCCCACCCCCAAAAGGTTCTTGAGTGTTTAGTGAATAGGAGTTCATTAAACTCTGATAGATTATTTTGTACAGGAGAAGTATGGTTATAATAACTTAAGCACTAAAAGGTTGTTTGATTGGATGTAAACGGTGTTGCATGAGTAAATAGAGCAACCAATTCTATAAATACATTGTTTGGTTTGCAGCTTTAAAATAATGAAATGTAAAGTGCCTGCATTTTGTACTAAAAACTTACAAGAAATGCTATAGCCAATTAGGTGGAGAAAAATCTGTAGAATTAAAAAAAAAAAGTAAAAAATAATTACACCTACTGTATCCTGAGACTTACTAAGTTTAATAAACTCTTGAGAGTCGGCCATGTGTAGTAATTAACTAGCCGAGTCCTACAAATCCGAAAGCCCACCTCAGGTGTGAACATCACCGACTTCTCTGAGAGCCCAAGTCCAAGACGAAAGGCATCTATGGGCCTCGCTAAAGAGTGTCTCAAATGACAAAAAGACCTATCAACTTCAACAGTCATACTTCGCCACCCAATCACAATCACATTTAATGTTGGGTTCAGAGTCTTTACGACTCTTTAGGCCGAAGTTATGACTTGGACCATGCTAGCACTTCAGTCATCTTACCATTGTCACATTGAACACAAACGTGACTCATTCAACCGGCTACCAGCACGTGTAAAGTGTGGTCTGATTAGTTGACTGCACCCACTTGGTTAAATTACTAAGGTGCTCTTGCCAACCCCATAGATAGTGGGCAATCTCTACTATTCTAAGGTAGGCAAAAACTATTGAATAACATCCTGAAACTAGATTCTGCAAACTTGTTTAATCTATTTCTGACTTAAACGTATTATTATCTATTTGTAAAAACTCCTTTTGGAGAGGAGTGTTACTCTTAATATAGAAGACCTTCCAAATTATAACTTTTTATTTTAATTAATAAGAAATATTTTTACCTCTTTATATTTTCCTTTTCTTCTCTTTATGTGATTATGAAGATGAAGATCAAGATGAATGTTTGCTATCACCTTGAGGCTAGAACCCTCTTGGGATGTAAAATTTCTCTTTGTAATTAAATTTATTTTTTGCTTTCTTGTCTTGTTTAAATAGCCAAGAGGCTAGAACCCTCTTGCCTTATATTTATTTTCATAATTGTGGAGTAGATTTACTTTCATGTGTTTACTTTCTTTCTTTAAATTCTTGTATTTATTTCTTACAATTTATTTTGTAGTCTAGATTTTATTTTCTTGTAGTATTCGTCTTAAGGATAGAACCCTCATGGGATTCATTTTTATTATTATCTATTTTTTCTTTCTTTGATTCGCCTTGAGGCTAGAACCCTCTAGCGAATTGCCCTTTTTAAAGATGTGGAACTAATACTTATGGGAACTCTAGAAATTACATAAAATTAGCTAATTGATTTAATTCTAGATTCCTCATATCTCTAATTAAATCCTCCATCTTTTACTTTCTTTATTTTTCTCTCATTTGTTTCTTGATTTTATTCGCTTCATCCTTCTTTCTTCCCTTTTGTTAGTTTTGTTTATATTCGCTCTTTATCACATCCACTCTTTATCTCTCCACTCTTAATCTCATTTTTTTAATTTACATACAATCACTCTCACTCTCTCTATCTCTCCACAATCATATTCATCACTTCTAATTGTCACACACACAACATAAGAACCAATTTTAATTATCTCCTACAACCACCTTCCTCGTAGGATCTATAGGCGTATAAAACTGCTTATAGGTCCCTTAGCACAGCTCGGCACAAACCGACGAACCATCGAGTGACGTATCTAAACACGAGCGTCAGTCCACAACACCAAAGCCAAGTGACACGCAACGAAGCGGATTAACGAGGAGACGAGGTTAACGAATCGCACGCAAGCAACGGAATGCATCCATTCGCGTGCGGAATCAAGCCAACGGTTCGGGGAGTTAACGAGTCATTCAACCATAGAACGGATTCGAACCCAAACACCAAGGCGGATTTACTACCAAATCAGGATCCGGACACCAAATCAGAGTCCAGATCAACAATAAAACTCGGATAAACCAATAAACCGCGAAACCGGACAACAGACACAACGGCGCCATACCCGGGCGACTCGGCCATGGCCGAGCCACCCCATGGTGGCTCGGCCAAACCCGATGGGGGGCCCGGGGGGCGGAGCCACCCATAGGTGGCCGGCCACCTGTGGCCGACCCAGATCTATGCCAAGGCACAGATCTGAGTGCCTATAAATAGGAGAGATTGGTTCATTTGTCAAGGGTGGGAACTTTTGGAGGCGAAGCTCTGCCGGATTGAGATCTCAAAACTTAAAAAGATTAAAGCTTTGGAACTTTGAAGACTTGGACATATCAGATCCGGTGCTCGGAGATCATCCAAGTCAAATAAGGCAGGAGTTCGAGAGGGATCGGATCTGAGATCTACACGGTTATCCTCCGGATCAAAACTTGGTTTTTGATCCCGAGAAGAGTCTCGATTTCGCTTGGTCGATTTCGATTACTAGGGCGATTATTTCCTTGGTGAATTAATTCCCCCCGGTTGTTATTTCCTTCGTGAGATAACACCCGCTATACCGTGTAGATCCGACCGGATCAAGATCGCGCGGTGGTCCATGGATTAACCCCGGCGTAGGCGAAGAACCCACAAAAGCGAGAGACCGCAAAACAGGATCTCGCGATTCGTTCGACAAATAAGGAAAGTTGTAATTTTCTTTTCTTTTGATTCTGTTGTAACCGGATCTTATAAAAAGACCGGATCTTTGTAACCGATAAACTGTTAACAAAGTAATCAATGGAATCATCAAAGAAGAAAACAATTTTTCCCACGAACAATCTGGCGACCACAGTGGGAGCCACCGATCTCGCTGCCGAGATCGCCGCGTCGCAGTCGCGGATCTCGATCCCGGTTGAGGAGGAGGTCGAGTACGAATTCGACCAGCAAAAGTTCGAGGAGTATCTGTCATCCTCGTCCGGATCGACCTACCCCCGCAAGTCCAAGAAGTTCTCCTCCAGGAGAAAGGTACGTTGGTACGAAGAAGTTGAAGCTACCAACGACGATCTCACCCCGATTGACGCCAAAGTTGCGTCGGGTGAAGTTCCGCCGACCTCCAACCAGGTCAACCCTGTTCTCGCCAATGCCTCCACCGTTGAGGGCGTTGTGACTCTCTCGAAGAGAGCCCGCCAAAGGCGACGTCAACGTTTGGCGCGGTAACTCGCAAAGGCGATGGAGTCCACCGACGGAGTCCGCTATCACGCGGATCTGAAGAATAGGAGAGGCAAACAGCCTCAACCACTGATGAATGGCAGCTCTTCTAAACCGCCAACGAACGAATGGGTCCGTGTTAAACGGAATCGTTCGACACTCGAAGAGCGCATTCGCAAGCGCCGCGCACTGTCAGCGCAAGCACGGGCTCAAGTCCAGGAAGCCCACAGGA